ATACATACATACATACATACATCCATACATACATACATACATACATACATACATACACACATACATGAGTTTTGACAGTAAACCTTATATATAAATATAAATATTATATAAAAATATAATTGCCATCGGACCCATAGCTAATATTATTTCAATTAAAAGCCTTCTGGAAGGTTTCAAAATGTCATCAGCGTCAGCGCCAGACGAATCTCAATCGGGAGGGCATTCCATAGTCTGGGGGCAGCTGCTGAAAAGGCCCTTTGTCTACAAGCTGTCCCTCTTACCTCCTTAAGGGATGGCTCTTTCAAAAGAGCCCCTTGGCTAGATCTTAACTGCTGGGTAGGTTCATATGGAAGGAGGCGGTTATATCTACAGGACCTGTATTAACTACAGCACCCAAGTCGGAGTGGATCCAAACAATTTTGCCTGCAAAGTGCTGTGCAAATTTTTCACAGCAATCTATCAAGTGGTCAGCACTATCTTCGGGGGGCCATAGTGCGACAAGCCATTGACCACCCAGAGGATCTCTGCTGGGCGACTCTGTGCAGATGCAATGGTGGTGGCAAAGAATAACTTCTTTATGGCAACCTCATAAAATGAATGGCCTTGAAAATGTCCTATCACTAATAGCCATGTTTCAGTACTTGCAAGCCCAAGCTTGTTGCTTTTTGTGTGAAATAAATCTGCATCAGACTTGGTCTTAAAAACAAACAAACAAAAGATTCAAAGTTTGCATGCACAGCTAAGCCAAAGCCTATGTGCTAAATCTTGATCTAAGCCAGCTTAAATGAACACTGTTTTTTCAGTACTATCAAATTACAAAGCAACATGCAACCATCAGTAACCAATTCCATCACAAAAATCAAGAGGTTTTTAAGAAACAACAACAAAACCTTCTTTTTTCATGAACAGAACTCTTGTAATCTGTCCATGCAAGTGAAAGCAATGGGCATGTCCTAGATGGATATAACAGTTATGTTGCTTCCAGGGTATCCTGGGAATAACAGTTCCAGGGGTACTCAGAATAGTCAGTATTTCTAGTCCTTCCCACAGTCAGAAGTACAGTTTCCAGGAATTTCCCAAGGAGGCAGGAACATCTACACAACCAATTTAAGTACAGTGGTGCCTCGCTTGACGACGTTAATTCGTTCCAGCGAAATCGCTGTAGAGTGAAAACGTCGTCAAACGAAATAAAAAACCCATTGAAACGCATTAAAAACCAGTTAATGCGTTCCAATGGGTGAAATACCTAATCGTCCAGTGAAGATCCTCCATACGGTGGCCATTTTCAGGTGCCTGTCTTGCAAAAAATTCCTCCTTAAAGACAGCGGGGAGCCATTTTGAGCAGCTGGTGGCCATTTTGAAAACCTGACTATCAGCTGTTTTGATCGTCGTAATGCGAAGAATTGGTTCCCGAAGCAGGGAACTGATCGTTGCAAAGCAAAAAACAAACAAACAAACAAACAAACAAAAAACCATTAAAACATCATTTTGCGATCACAACTGCAATCGCAAAAACATTGTTGCGAAGCGGATTCGTCATTATACGGGGTAATCGTTAAGTGGGCACGGCTGTATGTAGTATAGCTATGTCCAAACTTGTTAAAGTTTTAAGGACGTCCTTCTTCCACAGTGTCAGTGAAACAGAGTACTATTGTTTTTCAACTCTCCCTGAAGAGTTAAATTTTGTTAGATGCTGTATATTAAAACTATTAGTTAAGTTAAATCTTACAGTGGTAAAAGTGCCACTGCACTCTTTTATTTTAGGAATGACATACTAACATGGTTTGCTCTTGTAACGTGCAGTCACATCACTTCCAGCTTTTGGCAACCCTAAGAATTAATTATCTCCAAAAGAAAAAAAAAACTCCTGTCATTAACACCTGGTTCAGATCTTGCAAATTAGAAAGAAAGAAAACTACAGCTGCCAAACGCACTTAATATTTGATACGATAAAAGAAACACATTTCATATTTGAATTTATCTTGTTAAACGTTGTCTGCATTTGCTAGTTATTGTTTTTATTGCTGTGCAGAAAATGTAGATCAACCATGAAATGTAGCACGTTTCCCAATTATCTGATGCTATGCAGCACAGCTTAAGTGACCACTTACTGCGGATCTCAGCTGTAGCATACTTTGGAATCATGGAGTCTGTGGTGAGTTCTGGGTGAAGAATGCATCCGTGTGTATAGGCATCCATGGGCAAGGAATCCAGGAGTTCTCTGTACTGCATCACTCTGGAATGAAGGATGGTCCCTGCTTCAGGAATTAGTTGGATGATGTGTTCTGCAATGTGATAAGAAAAACTAAAATTCAAGCCATGTTTCATTTATACATGCAATACTCTGAAGACACTTTTGCTAAATTCCCAAATTTATATTCTGTTCCTAAATTCTAAATAAATAATGCAAATTAAATATATTTGGCAAATCTTCTGAATTTTCATTCATCATTTTCAACTTTCAAAATGGCACAGACTCCACGATTCGTAACAATGATAAATGTGCTCAAATGAAATTAATGGGCTACAAAGAGGCTGGAATTGGACACTCAGTGAAGGATGGGACTAAAGCTGGTACTGGACAGTCTGTATGTCATGAGGGGAAAATGTCTAGCCTTAAGGCCTAATGTGGCCTGTGATTAGGTTAATTCGTTGTTATAATACAGTGGTGCCTCGCTAGACAGTTACCCTGCATGACAGTTTTTTCACTAGACATTGACTTTTTGCCATCACTATAGCGATGCGCAAAACAGTGATTCCTATGGGGGAATTTCGCTGGATAGTGTTTGGGCCCTGTTTCACAAACGATTTTCACTAGACAACAATTTTGACAGCTCCCTCCGCGCTCACAAACCAGGTGTTATCGGGACCTAAGCTTCGCAAGACAGCTATTTAAACAGCTGATCAGCGGTTCGCAAAGTGGCTTTCCTATGGCCGATCTTCGCTAGACAACGATGATTCTTCCCCATTGGAATGCATCAAACAGGTTTCAGTGCATTCCAATAGGGAAATGCTTTTCGCTAGACAATGATTTCGCTAAACAGCTATTTCAGTGGAACGGATTATCATCGGCTAGCGAGGCACCACTGTACATGAATTTTCCCAACACAGATAAGCTTTCTGAGTAAGGAGCAGGCTTTCCTGTAGAAGCTCCAAAAACAACAACAAAACCACCAGATGAAAGAGTGGAAATGTGTTTCCCCTAAGCTTTCACATTTGGCACTTCTTTACCAGCCTAACAGGACTGTAGACCATGTACCCTGTAGACTGACTTGGGGGTTGTGTGTGGCCTGGAGGTCACCGGTTGCACCATTCCTGCAGTAGAAGGAGCAGCCATTCACTCTTACGGCAGAGTTTACCACACGCTCTTCAGTTTTTACTGGGCAGAAAGGGCTTGAAAGAATTACTAGTCCTAACTGCATTCAGGCCTCACCTTAGTCTACTGTGAATTTGTTTTCTTTGCTCCTGGAAAAAAACACCCTGTCTGTTCTTAACCCTCCCTAATTGTCAGCAGAATTTGCAGCTGAAAGTACTGAAGTCCTTCCCTTAAGCCCATATAGCATTCTTACCTGTATGAAGCGCACAGTGCTGTCATGCCTACCATGATAACGTAAGCAGGCATGGAGACCATCCTACTTAATGACAAAAAAGAGGACACAACACAACCAAAAAAGAGGAGAAAAGAAGACAATGGTTTGCCTGAAACTGCATGTACTAATTTATATGTACACATTCAGCACTAGACTTTTAAAAATACACCCTCCAGGACTATAGTACATCTCACTGAGTGTAGAAGACTGATCAAGTGACAAACTAAAGGTTCCTTGAGCTCCCTCTCTATGTTTCTTTTTTTATTTTTAAATCAGACGTGGAATGGCCAGTCATTCAACTGAGGACACCTTTAACAAATTGATCTGTCTTCAAGTAGAAAATTGTCCTCAGTAAAAGAAGCTGCACAGCCACCATCACACCATGTGTCTTGTTCACTCTAACCTGACAGCAGTAAAAGGCGAGACCTTATGTTTCGGCTGCCTTTTGGTGACAGAACAATATGTGGGTTGAATGCAAGAGTTATAAGATTTCCTATGTTGCTACATTAACTTGCCCGTCGACATTCACAGGGGAAGAGCACAAAAGATAAGAAAACTTATAAGATAGAGAAGTAAGGGAAAGAGATAGCAACGTGCTCAAGTCCAGACATACTCTTATAAGTACAGTAATTGAAGAAATGCTGCAAAATAATAACACAGGAAACAAGGACACAAGACATCATGGACAGAATCCTCCTTATATTGTTCGGTTTCTGCAGAAATGCTGTGCTCTCAAGCAATACTGTTCATAGAGGTCGTGCAAGGAGCTTTCCATTATTATCTCCTTGTGTAAGTGGAACCCTATAGGCTTCATTACTGGCTATCATCATATCGGGTTCAATCAGTGATCTCTGTGTGGGAGAGCCTGCACAGCCAAGACTAGGCAGAGTTACACTGGCAGAATATTGCACTGTGCCATCAGTCAACTGACCATGTATTTCTGCATCTGTTTAGAAAGACTGAGGATTACTGAAAATGACTGCAAATATCTTTAGCATGTAAGGTTGGCCTGTGAGCTTTGAAGATGAGAAATCTGACTGCTGGGGGCGGTGCCATTCATGTTTTGTTAAATAATATCTGGTTCCTGGGAATCAGCCCATAATTCAGTACTATACGATACTTGTATTGATTCCAGAATTCATGATTTTCTCATCAAAGTTCGGTACTGAATGTGATTCAACGTGAATTTGAGTCCAGGTCTCCCATAGCAAAATTTGCTGGCTCTCCTGGCAGATCCGGAGAGTGCCATTCCAGCATCCACTCAGCATTTGCAAGATTGTGCTTCTCACATTTGGACATACATTGTCTCTGGTCTGATTAATTCAGACCACGATTCTGAATTCAAGTAACTGCACTGTTGCTAGCCTTCTTTATCCGAAATCCTTCCACTTTGGTGACAGATACATCCATCTTTGAATTACAGCTTCTTCTAAAAATGCAGAGAGGACAATGCTGCAAAAAAGGGAATCCATTTTTTTTTCAAATATCTGGGCCACCTTTTATAGAGCCATTCATTTTTATGAGCCACAGAGATCATGTTAAACAGAAAGTAAGCAAATTTACTGAAATGGTTCATGGGCATTTTCTCACTGCCCATTTGCAATAGTTAAATCCTCTAATGTAAGTTTGGCTTGTGCTTTGAAACAATCAATGCTTTTAAAGACATGAATGGGAAAGATTTTTCAGTCTGAAAGATTTCCAAAACGTCCTGTCATTAAAAGTCTGGTCAACTCTTGCAAACCGAAGGCTGTGGTTTCCTCTATTGCAGCAGTCCTTCTCATATTTAGTCATCTTCTTTTCCTACTGCCTTCCACTTTCCCTAGCATTATTGTATTTTCCAGTGATAATTCAGCTGATATGGTTTCCCCAACTGTGCTGGGGAAATGCCTTTGCCTGCTGAAGTGGGTGGTGTTTTTTGTTTGTTTGTTTTGTCATTAAGCATCTGTTAAAGGCGCAGAAGTAAAACCAGAAAGCAAAACTGATAATTTTACCAGTACCGAAAGCTGGAATACCCTTTGATGGATTTTTTTTCAGTATCATCCTACCTTAATTATTAATGAAATACACCACTTTGTTCAAGTGACTCACAATTTTTTGAACTAAGCCCCATGACTCATCGGATATATAATCTCCCAGTCCTTAGATAGAATTGCTCTTGCTGCTGTTAATAAATTGCCGATTAAGTCTTTGTCTTGTGGTTTCACAAGATTCTTTTTTTAAAAGAGGAAACCCTAAAGCTATAAATGCAGAGTCAATAAACAGCTCATACCCTTTCATTTCATGTAAGATTAAGCAGTTCATTTCATATTAATATATGCATTCATATGGTGAATGTTCCTGTCTAACTGATGAATGAAATGGCACAGTAGGAGTGGGTCTCTACCTTTATTAATAACCACAATTCCTGTCAATGTTCTTCCCACCCACCCTAATTCAACCCAAAACTGTGCATCTAAACTGTGTTCAGGTTGCCCAGAGATATCCCCACCGCAATAGCCTATACATCTGAGATCTACTAGTGAACATTAGTGCATCCCACATGCACACAAGAAACATCTCTAAAAAGAGCAGAGATTTCCTTACAAGCTGCATCTGATGATTCATATTTAAAGATAAATACCATACCTTAAATTAAGAGCCTGGAAAACAGACTGCCCAGGGGCAGAGGCAATGGTATAGTGGTAAATATGGGTGCTCATCATGGCAGTACCCATAGCGATCCCCTGTCCCACCCCCAGGAGAGTCCAAACGTGCTGGCTGTTGGATTGGTGAATATCATCACCTGCATAACAGGTCTTTTGTAAAGTCAGTGGCTCTTAACTGTCCATTAAAGACCCTAAAATAAATTTCATTACAACAGCAATAGCTTACAAGAATAATCTGTTCCTCAGAAAATCCATTTCTTTCCCAAGTACATGCAAGAATTGCAGCTAAGCTCAGAGGGATGGCCAGAATGGGGTGGTGGATGATTGTTGTTGTTATTGTTTTGACTTATATACTCTGTCACAATAATGTTAGAAAATTCTGGGGTTTTGACTCTCTGAGCCTTGACTTCACTGCACTACTTTATAGAGGTCATCTAGCCAGTCTTCTCATTAGAGTGGAATATATTGATCTATATTTGATATATGATTATTGTTTCTAAATTAACTTCATATGAAAAACTGCTGATGGGCAAATTCAAGCCTTCTGTTCTCTCTCCTTATGGGTTTTTTTAAACCTTAAACTAGACTTTGTTTTGACCAAGAGCATCTGGAAAAATGAGGGGCAGGGGGAAAAGATGATGAACATATATTAACAGAATTCTCTTTGCTACTGAAATATGTTTATTTGTACTGTATGCACTTAAATATGTTTAGGATTCTGAGGGCAAAGGGTCCCTGTACTTCCCTTACGATTGACACCCATGGACTGGACAGCTCTTCAGAAGATTCTAGAAAACAAGACACATGACCAGCTTTTACCCTGGCCCTACTTGATGGTGGGTGGAAGTTATAAGCCCAGTTAATATTCCTTAGTCTCCACCTCTATTATTTAGTTTTACACTGAAGTAACTGAAGGGACCTCCTTCTTCCAAATTAATGCAGCTTGCCCCCAAATTTAGGGAGTCTCCCTTCCAAGTGCTCCTGAGTACAGGACTATGATAGGTCACAACCAAAGAAAAAGTCTTTGGTTGTGACCTATCATAACCAAAG